TGGGTGTGGTTTGGGCTTTGCTTCCGTGAAGATTGACAGCCTGGGAGACCCTGTGGGCAGTTCCACTCTGTCCTCTAGGGGCGCTGTGGGTCGGAATGGACTCCAGGCAGTGGGTGTGGTTTGGGCTTTGCTTCCGTGAAGATTGACAGCCTTGGAGACCCTGTGGGCAGTTCCTCTCTGTCCTCTAGGGGCGCTGTGGGTTGGAATTGACTCCACGGCAGTGGGTGTGGTTTGATATGAATACTAACAACAGAATTGTTCCGTAAAATCTTTCTACATTGAATTACCATGCTATTAGTTACACTATTAGTAACTGAGTGGAGTTCCTTCTCCTTTAGTTAATGAGCTCTAGTGGTGTAGTGGTTAAAGTATTTGAATGCTAACCCAAAGGGTGATGGTTCAAACCTGCCACTCCAAGGATCTGAAGCATCACTGTACTTGGGTAATAATGACAGCTCCTAGCAGAGGTTAAAAAAAGCAAACAGCAGATCAGCACAGAGTTCTAGCCCCATGGCTATGCCGAGAGACGGAAGCTGGGCTGCTGGAAAACGTTTTTGTTGTTAAAACTAACTACAGGGATATTACTACACAGAATAATACATTTCTGCTGAAACACTGACCAAAAAGACAATTATTTTAACAGTCACCCCCTCTGACAGTGTCACCCAGTGTAGTCAGCATCCCCCTAGTGATGCCACTGTTAACTGTCAGAAAGCTTATGAGCTAATGAACTAAGTTCTATCAACAACCAAGGTTGAAAGTCCTCCAAATTCGTTGCTCACGAACTGTCACACCGCACTTCACTGTTCATCTCTGCTCTAGAACGGTGTGAGACTGTGGCCACCACGGCAGAGGCTTGACACGGCCATGGCCGGAGGATTTACACCATGGATGCCCCCAATGAGGGCGTTGTGTTTTGGGCCACTGACCAGCCCCCCAGTCCCGCAGGTGTAGGCAAGACAGAAGGTCTCAGAGCCGTCCCCAGGGATTCTGTGGGAGCACTTGCTGCCACCAGGGAATCTCCACGCACACCAGGGGATGCTCAGGTGACAAGAGAACCACAGGAATGTCTTTCTCCCTGGAATCGTTGCCACAGCAGCGTCGCTATGGAAACTGGGCCCAGGCAGTGGGGCGGGCACGCAGGGCGGCCGGGCTGGATGTCAGAGGGGGATGGGCGCAGTGCACAGACCCAGCACCTCCAATCAAGGCGCTTGCTTTGAGCCACCACCCAGCCTGTGGCTTCGCCCATGAGCACTGCAGGCCCCTCTGGGAGGTGCCAGGGCGAGGCCAGCCTCTGGGTGGAGACGATGAGGGTGGTGGGCAGAGGCCAGCTGAGCCCCCACGGGCAAGGGCCACCAACAAGATGGAGAAATATAGGGGACGCACAAAGAAGCCCAATGCCAGGCCCACGGTAAGAAGCCACAATTGTGACCCCTTCATCTTCTGATGCTCTGCACCCTGCTGTCATCAGAAGAGAGTGACAAGCATGCGCTGGCCAATCCGACATTGAAATGTTCCCGGCTCCAACTGCCCAGTCTGCAGCCCCAGAGCAGACAGAACAAACAAAACCCTCTGCTGTGGAGTCAGTTCCGACCCACAGCGCCCCTAGAGGACAGAGTGGAACTGCCCACAGGGTCTCCAAGGCTGTCAATCTTCACAGAAGCAAAGCCCAAACCACACCCACT